TCCACCTCCCCGATGTCCCGCCGGGAGCGATCCCTGCCCGTGCCCCCCGTCCTGCCCCTTCCCGGCCCCGGGAATCCCGCGGGCCCCGCCCTGCACGGGCCGGGTCGGGACCATCGCGGGCCCGGGCGGCTTCTGCGGCAAACGCGCCGGGACCGGCCCCCCGCGGGCTCTCACCTGCGCCCCGGGCGGCTTCTGCAGGGCGATGGTGCGGGGCAGGAACCGCGTGAGCTCGTTGTTGTAGTCGGGGTGAAACACCCGCTGCGGGGACGCGCCAGCTCAGCCGGGGCCGGGCCGGGCCCCCGCCCGGGCGACCCCGCGGCCGCCCCCGGGCCGGCGCGGCCCCCCCGAGCCCCCTCACCTCGTGCGGCGGGACCCAGGCGGGCGGGCTCTCGTAGGGCGGCAGGAAAACCACCGGGAAGTCGTCGTAGGGAGCGCGGGGCTCCATGGCCGCCGGCTCGGGCGGCGCGCACCGCGCGCCCATTGGCTGCGCCGGGCCGCGCCCGCCCCGGGGGACGCACCGGCACGCCATTGGTCCGGCGCTCAGCCGGCCCCGCCGCTTCCTGCCGCTCTGATCGGCGATTGGCTGTGCCCCGCCCCTAGGTGACGCCCCGCCCCGTGATTGGTTCGAACTCCTCCCCTTGGTGACGCACCGCTCTCTGATTGGCCGTCTTCTCGCGCGGCCCGTTTGAGTCGGGACCGTTGCGGCGCCGCCATCACGGGCGCGGCGGCTCCGGGCGGGTTCTGGGGCTTCGGCGGCACCGCCCGCGCTGGGATCGGATCCCCGCCCGTCCCCGCTGCCCCTGGGCCCGTGGGGTCCCCGGCGCTGCCCCCCGTGCCGGTTCTCACGGCCCGTTCCGCGCAGGGCCGGCGATGCTGCGCGACGAGGACAAGGGCATCCCGGTGCGCGTGGCGCTGCGCTGCCGCCCGCTCGTGCCCCGGGAGAGCAGCGAGGGCTGCCAGAGCTGCCTGTTCTTCGTGCCCGGCGAGCCGCAGGTGAGACACCCGCACCCCCCCCTCCCGTACCACCTCCCCCGGGCTCCCTGTGACCGTCCCGTCCCGTCCGCAGGTCGTGGTGGGCAAGGACAAGTCCTTCACCTACGATTACGTGTTCGACCCCTCGGCAGAGCAAGAAGAGGTTTTCAACACTGCGGTGTCTCCTCTGGTCCGAGGCATCTTCAAAGGTCTGTGCCTTGTTTTAAGGGAGGAGGGTTTTCATCGAATCCCAGGATGGTTTGGGTTGGGAGAGACCTTAAAGCTCATCCAGCTCCACCCCATGCCATGGGCAGGGACACCTTCCACTACCCCAGGTTGCTCCAAGCCCTGTCCAACCTGGCCTTGGACACTTCCAGGGATGGGGCAGCCACAGCTTCTCTGGGCAACCTGTGCCAGTGCCTCCCCACCCTCACAGGGAAGAATTCCTTCCAATATCTCATCTAACCCTGTCCTCTGGCAGTGGGAAGCCATTCCCCCTTTCCTGTTCCTCCATCCCTTGTAGAAAGTCTCTCCATCTTTGAGAATAACACAGTGAATTGACACTCAGCCCATCCCAGGAGCTGTTGGTGCTGCAGTGGGTGACAGGGGATGGCAGAACTTGTGCTGTTTCTGACCAGCTCTAGTAAAGCAACAGCCAGTCTTTAACAAGAGCTGAAATAATTGTTTTATCTGTGTTTTGAAGGGCTTTTCATTGACATTTTCATTGACTGTGACTGTACTTGGAGTCAGTGTGAACTGACACTTCTCTGGATGGTTTTCCCAGCTTTGTTTAAAGTCTCCTGTGGTCCCCATGTGACTGATCCTGAGCACTTTGTTCCCCCAGGATACAATGCCACTGTCTTGGCATATGGACAGACTGGATCTGGGAAAACCTACTCCATGGGAGGCACCTACACGGCCAACCAGGAGCAGGAGCCCAGCGTGGGGGTCATCCCAAGGGTCATCAGGCTGCTCTTTGAGGAGAAGCAGCAAAGGCAGGATTGGGAATTCGTCCTCAAAGTTTCTTATCTCGAGGTAAAAGTTTTGGTTCTCAAACTATTATCAAGTTTTGAATTAAGTGAGCTTTGGGGCCTCCTCCTACAAGTAATAAATATGGATTAAAGCAACACTTAAGGCTCCAGAAACTGGGTCTTACCGTAGGTATTTTTCTCTAAAGGTGACATGAGTAGAATGTGATGCCAGATTAGCCCTGATTTCAGCATCACTACACCTTTCTCTGGTGGGTTGTTCTCCTGCAAGGCTGGTAACTCTGAGCTGCTCTTGTGCTGTTCCAGATCTACAACGAGGACATCCTGGACCTGCTGTGCCCCTCGAGGGAACGTTCCTCCCAGATCAGCATCAGGGAGGATCCCAAGGAGGGCATCAAGGTCTGCTGCCCTGGGGGATGTGGGGGCATGAGGGGCTGGCAGGGCTGGGGAGGAGTGTGCTGGTGAAACAACTGCCTGATTCCCTGAACATTGCCCAGGGAATCAGCACGGCCACTCCTTGCTCTCAAAACTGGGCTCCTGAGCCTGAACTTCACTCAGGACAGCACCAAGAGGGTCTGATGTTCATGACAAAGCCACTTGCACGTGCTGCTCTGACTCTGAAGGGTGATTGAGGTGAATGTCTGAGGTGGTTGTCCTTGGGGTCCCTTCACTCCAATCCCTGCTGCCCTTGTGCTCCTCATGTGGCAGATATAATGTGAAAAAATGGGATCCTGAGGGGGAACTTCTAGTGCCCCAGAGATTTTCTCAGCAGTTTTTGACCAGCTGTGTGTTCATAGCACAGTGCAGAGAATCCTTGTGCTGCTGCTTCCTCTGGGTCCCTGTTTTGTGGTTAAACTTGTGTCCTTTGCCTTTGCTCAGATGGTTTTAGTTAAACCCCATTGTCCTTTGTCCTTCCCTGACAGCTGCAGTTTGCAGTGGGGATGTTGGGTGTGCAGCTTGAAGCTGGAAGCTTGGATCCATCCACTGGCTTTATGTGTAGTTCTCTGTCACCTCTAAAGCACTGGGATGTGGCTCATCCATGTGTTGGGAGCAGCACTGGGATACAGGGAAACGGGCCCTCAGGGAAAGCACAACTTCCCGAGGAGCACATCCAGCCCCTACTGCTCATCTCCTCTGGGATCTGTGTCCCTGAGAGCTGTCTCCCCACCACTTTATCCACACAAATCCCCACCCCAGCAGCCAGTTTTTCTCCTTTCTCTGCCTGGGACTGGCACAATTTTCAGGTCCCAGCTTGCCCTGGGATACCTGGGGGCAGCTCTGCATTTCTCCATGGATCCCAGGCTCTCAGGCAGGTACAGGAGCTTGGGGGCAGGGTGTAGGAGTAGGAGAGATGATGTGACTTCATGTCACTGATGTGAAATTCAGGACAGATTTTTCCTGGGAGAAACCACCCCAGACCTTTTGAGGTGAGACATTCTTGGGAATGGAGCTCACCTGGTCTGGTACAGCCTGAGGTGGAGGAGGATTTCTCTGGACTAAGCTGGGATGAAGAGAAAGGAGAAGATCCATAATGGTTTTTTTCCTGGCTACAGATTGTAGGGTTAACTGAAAGAAATGTCACCTGTGCCCAGGACACTGTGTCCTGCCTGGAGCAAGGGAACAATGCCAGGACAGTGGGATCCACGGCCATGAACTCCCAGTCCTCACGGTCCCACGCCATCTTCACCATCTGCATCGACCAGAAGAAGAAAAATGACAAGTGAGTGGGGTTGTGCAGCCACTCCCAGCAGCTCTTTGAGAGTTACCTGCCCAAAATTCCATAATCCTACTCTTGGTCCTGCTCTGAGCTACTCGAGGCAGTTGTTGTGTGTCTGTCTCTGGTATTTCAGCTCCTGGGCTGCTCCTTTCCTGACTGCACTTTACTGAGAGAGTAAAATAATGTATTTCTGCCACAGGAACTGCAGTTTTCACTCCAAACTGCACCTGGTGGATCTTGCTGGCTCTGAGAGGCAGAAGAAGACCAAGGCTGAGGGAGACAGATTAAAAGAAGGTCTGTAGGCAAAGGGTCAGCAGAGCCTGGGTTTCTAATACCTTTGGAGATAATAAAAGAGCAAAGTAGTTCTTTAACCCTTGTAATGCCCTTTTTGAACCTTCTTACATTTTATTAAGGGCAGGAAATGAGCAGTTTTTAGCTCTGCTCACTGGGATCTGTTTGCAGGGATCAACATCAACAAAGGCCTCCTGGCCCTGGGGAACGTCATCAGTGCTCTTGGGGATGAGAACAAAAAGGGTGGGTTTGTCCCCTACAGAGACTCCAAGTTGACAAGGCTGCTGCAAGGTAAGAGACAGGTTATGACAAAGCCTAAATCTGTGTTTTAAATAACATGATGCACCTTAAACAAAGCAGGAGAAAACCCAACAGCCACCAAACCACAGCTCAGAGCAGGAGCTGCTGCTGGCAGAGGGATTCATTTACTTAGTTCCTCTTCTCCCTGAAGCCAGACCTCTCCTGAACTCTTTATTTTTAGGTTGCAAATGCAGTGAGATGAGTTCCTAAATGAGTCCTGCTCTCCTGCAGTTTCTATGACAGGAGGAAAGGAGACATATTCAGAGCATATTTTTGGTGGGGAGGATGAGAAGTCAAGTCTGGGAGCAGAGATCTATTATTGTATCTTAATTATAGCAACTTACTGGATGATATCACAGCCAGAATGAAGCTCAAGCTGTCTGTGCTTTCCCTGGGAGCCTCATGTTTGATTTGCTTCTTGGTCTGAATATCTGGTCTTTGTGGTACTTACTTTTCAATAGTTGTGATGATATTTTAATACATTTATCTGAATTAACCTTCCACATGGGCACAGCTTTGGTAATTAACCTACTGGGATGTTTATGGTAGTTAAATAATTTGGTACAAAAACTCTAAAGTATTTTCTATATCTGAGAGTCCCTAATTAAAAACTGGATTTTGCTGCATGTGGGGCCCTTTTTTCTGATCAGTAGCTTGAAGTAGCCAATGTGTGTTAGTGTAAAACTGAAGGAGGAAATGCCATGCAGTTCTTAGCCAATAATTCCTTAAATTGAAGAGGATTCTGATGTCTGGATATTCATGGAGGTCTTGAGTGTTATTAGGTGGGAGAAGGGAGGGGAAAACCTGAAAGAACTAGGCCAGAAATGGTATAAAGGAATTACTTATCAGGGCAGTGATATTAGTGGGGCTTCTGAGGTGAAGTCTTTGGTGTTTAGAGCCGAGACACGACTTTGGCCTTCCATAAACCTCTCTGGTACAGAACTGACTGAGCAGAGGAGAAAGTAATGACAGTGACCCAAACCTACAGCTGGATGTTGTATTTTGGGGATGCACTCGGGGGGAGGTTTAGTGTCCTGATGATGGTGTGTCCCACTCTCACTCTCTGAAAGCTTCGCTTATCCCTTGTTTTCCTCTCCAGACTCCCTGGGAGGGAACAGCCACACCCTGATGATTGCCTGTGTGAGCCCAGCAGACTCCAACCTGGAGGAGACCCTGAACACTCTGCGTTACGCTGACAGGGCCAGGAAGA